TTTTTTGGGACAGAGTTTTGCTATTGTTGCCCAGGCTGGAGTGCAATGGTGTGATCTCAGCTCACCGTAACCTCTGCCTTCCGGGTTCAAGCTATTCTCCTGCCTCAGTCTCCCGAGTAGCTGGGATTGCAGGCATGTGCTACCACACCCAGCTAATTTTGTATTTTTAGTAGAGACAGGGTTTCTCCATGTTGGTCAGGCTAGTCTCAAACTCCCAACCTCAGGTGATCTGCCCACCTCAGCCTCCCAAAGTGTTGGGATTACAGGCGTGAGCCACCACACCCGGCCCCTTCTACTATCTTAATGAGAATATTCTACCATAGCAGAATCACCCTTTAAAAATATGGTTTTGCATCCCGTGCAAGAAGAGAGATTTTTTTAAAAACTGTTTTTCGAGCTTAGAATTGGTTCTAACTTGTCAACTATTAGTTTGGATCGGCTTCCATATTCATAGCTATTACAGAGCCTTAGTGACCAATTTACTTTCCCTAAAGACACCTACACAGAGTCACCTGCAGGCTGCTTATGCTGCTATAGGAAAGGGTGGAGAGGCACAGAAGGAGATTAACTATGCTTGAATTTTTTTCTGGGCATGCACACATAATTTTATCTTTTGCCTCACTTTACCATTTGCTATACTGATGTGTCTATCATGGGATTGCTGAATCAGATGAAAAGTTAATATTTAGAAAGTGTTTTAGCTTTGTCAGTCTCTACTTTTGAGTACACAGCAGTATTTATGTCTCATCTGCTTCCTCCCTGTTCAGACTATAAACCCTCTTTTGTCTAGGGTCCTTTCCTAGATCTTGGTACTCTTCTCATAAACTTTTTGTTCTCACTCAATTTTCAAATTGCTCTTGCCACCTTACTAAAGAATTGTACTTAAGAGTTTCCTTTCTACTTAAAGGTAAACTAAACTAGTTCTAGATAGATAAGAATTTACTCTAGTCTATTTTTTTTAAACCCTCATTTTTAATAAAACTAATATGTTTATTTTAAGCTGTGAAAAGAAAATGTTTATTTTAAGCCAGGCATGGTGATCACGCCTATAATCTCAGAGACTCGGGAAGCCAAGGCTAAGACAGGAGGATTGCTTAAGGATAGGAATTTGAGACCAGCCTAAGCAACATAGCAAGACCTTGTCTCTACAAAAAATAATTTCATTTATTAATTTAATTTAATTTAATTTTTTTTTTGAGACTGAGTCTCGCTCTATCACCAAGGCTAGAGTGCAGTGGCGTGATCTCAGCTCACTGCAACCTCCGCCACCCAGGTTCAAGCGATTATCCTCCCTCAGCCTCCTGAGTAGCTGGGACTACAGGCTCCTGCCACCATGCCTGGCTAATATATGTACTTTTAATGGAGATGGGGTTTCACCATGTTGGTCAGGATGGTCTCGAACTCCTGACCTCTTGATCCGCCCACCTCGG